TGTGCGTCTTTGGACAGAACAGCACGTGGTCTGCTAACCAATGTGACGAGTACGATGACGTAGATTCCTCGGAGAGCGCCTATGTATGTACATGTGATTACGAGGACAGCTGTAATGCCGATGACTCGGGTAAGTGGAAATAAAATTGGGTATGGCAAATGAATATCAAACAAAGTGCTCACAGATTTACCATTCATTTAAAAACAACCTTCAAGGTATGTGGCTCATATATTCGGGCACAGTGGCGCCCTACGGTAATGCACCGAGAGTTGTTGAGTAAAGAAAAAAAACCCTTTGACACAGTGACGTCAGTATGTAATGTTTTCATCCTACGCGCGCGTTCTACAAAACTTGTTACCACGAGATCTCGAGATCTCGCGTTATTATTTTGAAATCTCGTGACGAATCTGGCAAATAGTATGTCATTTCAATCGTTCCTCCTGTATTCTAGATTATCACCAGTGCTACTACTGTGAAACGAAAGTCAACGACTACACATGTAAAAACGACTTAGTAAATAACCACGAGCCAATAGCGTGCCTCACTGGACATTCTGGATGTGGTACTAGAACTGTAGCCTACAACACATGTGAGTATCAACAACTTTTTGTTACTAATTCCCCACGCCAACCACCTGTCGCATTTAGATTTGTTCTTCTCTCTCTCTCTCTCTCCAACACTTTGTTCAATGTAGGGGTTCAATGTCGCAGCTCGTGTTCGAATTTCACGTCAACAATTTACTGTACTGTGGGTCCATAGCTTTTCTTGTGTCGATTTTTAGTCTTTGTGATGGTATTACAATCATTTCTGATACATTTGGTATCATTAAATTTGCTATTTTCAGACCTTATGATTTTAATTGACACAGTGGAGCTATGGCTCCTCCCATAGACTTGAGTAACACAAACGTGTGACGCCAAATGACGTCGCAAATAAAAGTCGATACAGGTACACCATTTTCATATAGCACGCAACAGAAACGGAGTGGAAATAGTGTCATTGTGATAAAATCCACATCAGTAACCTCAACAAATTTCGTCATAAAACAACTCTTGTCTTAACTTTTTTCATAATAGGGCTGTTCACCGATGATGCCGAAAGATACTGTACTGACGAAGAAACTACCGACGCCGATGGTGATTGCACGACCGATAATTCGGGATTTGAGACCTGTCTCTACTACTGTTCCGGAAATGCATGCAATGACATTGAAAACATTGCCAGTAGATCCACTATCCCAACCACATTGATATTTACCTAGATTATAGCATCCCTTGTACCCTGGTGAAATCACTGCTAACCTGAGCGATAAGCGAGTAACCTTAGTCGCTCTCAACACACAGTAGCATAGAAAAGTCGCCTGGTTATTTCCCCCGATTATTTTGTACTTGTTAATTAGTTCGACTTGTATACAGTCTCTTTTTTAATTCTTGGTGATTTTTTTTCATTTAAATAAAATATTATGGGAGCGTGTAAACGGCGAAAGCCGGGTTACCGCCGCGAAAGCCTGCTTACCGAGAAATAAACAAAATAACCATAAACATCATGAATGTATATTTCGCAGTAACCCGGCGTTCGACATTTATATACTCTCATTAACATACAAATCATTATTGTATACTTTCGCACTTTTGTGGATTTGGCAATGGATTTCTCCCTGAGACTTGATACATTCTTTTTTTTATTCATAGTCAGGTTTTTCATGCTCAAACCAAAACGAATGTTGCAATGAAGATAATGTCTGTAACTGTTCCAATAAAGTTGTATTGTATGCTTACGTGAAATTCTAACAGGGCTGCGCAGCGACCACCGCCCTTTAAAGTTGACGGGTCGAATTAACTTCGAAATGTATAGTCCTGTTACCAGTGTATCGTCGAAACAGTCTAAAATATTGAGGCTCCCATAATTACGGTTACTAACCAATCACGTAGCCTATCATAGTCACGTGAGGTACGCCTTATACCCATTGGTGGAATTTGTTGTGGACTATTCTATTCATACCAAGGGGTGTAAACCATAAATGAATTAATAACTGAAATAAATAACAGACTTCTCGGTGGTAGACAATTTGCTATGCTTATTTCAACCGCACATCATTGATTTAGTTAGTTCTGTTAGTATATCTAATAAATTGCAAGGTCTCAAAAGTATCTACATATCCATGCCCCCATCAAAACTAAAAAAAAGCTCATACAAGTACGATATGCCTTGGCCGTTCTCAGTCCGTGCTGGGTGCTCATACCTCACACATTCGCCTGTGAAAGATACATCTCCCCTAGATTTCCAACAAAAGGTAAGATCATGTAGTAACTGTATAAGCCTGTAATACTATTGCAGTAGTAAAGCAACGACCGTTGTCAAGGTTGGTAATTTGTCGACTGAAAGATAATGTTCGGGTGTGGTGAAAAACAAGTAATATCATCGTAAGATGACGATCATGTGTTAACTATGACTTGGGTCTTGTATGGAAATTTACAAATGAACGATCAGTCAAATACTATGTTACTGATATTGCACTACTTATACATGTATTCACCTCGAATTTTGTTCAGAGAGATCACACCCTTCTCTCTATGGAGAGACTACGCTCATACCATTGTGGAGGAAGTTTGACGCCGAACCTCCTGAGTATAATGATCTGTACGTGTAGCAACACGTGTTGGGGCCTTGTGGTGTTACGTGAAATACCAATAAGCTGTATTTGAGTACTGTAAAATACTTTATTTTCGCTTGCAAATGATTCAGTGAAAATAAAATCCAGTGAATATACCTTTTTTTCCTATATTTTACATTCAACTCGTCAACAATCAATGAAAATAAATTCCATACAAAATACCCAAAAAATCTTTTCAGCGAAAATTAATTCCAGCTAAAATAAAGTATTTTACAGTAGAGGTTTTTGACCGTAATGCAGACTCGTGGTCAGGAAGCGCGGTCTTCGAATACGGCGCATGTTGAACTCCCTCGGAGACACCCAACTTAGGACTCAGACTCGTAATAGGTTATACTTATCTGAGTTTAGGATGGTCGTTTCGTTTTGGCATTGTAATTTTTATTACATTGAACCTGTGAATTGTTTGTAGTCATTGAGCACATCTTCATTGTTTGTGTCGCCGTGACAACCTTCCAAAACAAGTGGCTCATTAACACACAAACATTCAAACAATTGTCTAAGGTGTATTGTGTATATTTTGATTTCGTGAATCAAATTACGAAAATGTGTGAGATGTCAAAAATAGGTTTTCCCGAGAAATTTAGCATAACGGTAAATCTATCATGATGGGCAAGGGGATTATAAAAACTTATTCTCCAGCATACTAGTATCGTGTTTTGAAACTTGAAATTAGCACCAAACTGTCATTCATGGCACTTCTGTGTTTGTCCGAGTGGTTACCATCACTGTCTTGTTATCTCCGAACATCTGTAATTGTTCAAATTGTAAAATATCAGTTATTCATTCCTGTTTGTCTTGGGAATGTTATCAGGCATTATGAACTATCGATTATTTCGCTGTTACATTACTTATCGTAATGGCGCTTCACTAAACTAAAAGTATTCTATACGGAGAGCTGATCATAGAGCACATCCGTCCAATCATGGATGTACTGATACATTCATGGTCCTATATAAGACTGCCACGTATTAAACTCACGTCTGCCAGGACATACTGGGTCTTCATTGTCAGACTGTCTTAGAGTATTTCTGAACCACGTTTCCTCAAAGGTGTTCCGTATATAAGCGTAGTCGCGCGCTGTCCCAAATACAGAGAGACGTCAAGACACAAAACTTTGTGAGAACCGATTACAAACAAGAAAAGGCGAACCACGTTCTCTCATAGGTGGTCCGTATCTAAGCGAAGTCGCGCGCTGTCCCAAATACAGAGAGACGTCAAGACACAAAACGTTGTCAGGACCAAATACAAACAAGAAAAGGCGATGTTTTTTTGGCATCATGAATATTCATATGACATGTATTATTTATCAAATTTCGTCAATTTTTGAATATTATACATACCTCATGAAAATTCTCTAGGTCAACTTGTAATAATAGTTTTAATAGAATTATTACAGAATTACAGCCGTAAAGTTTGATCAAGTTTCGTCAAATTTTGTCTAATCTACTTACCTCATGAATATTCTTGATACCGAAACTATAGAATAAATTGAATATATTCAATGATTTTTTCAGGGGTAAAAAAGAAACTTACTGGCGTCAAGTTTGTTCAAATTTTGTTGACCTTGACTAATCGCATGCCACATGAATATGCATGAGGCTGAATCTATCGAATAAATCGGATATATACACCTATGATTTTTCTAAGTTTCGTCACATTTTGAGTAAATATACTTTCGTCATGAATATTCAACTATCCAACAAATCAGATATAACCAAAACACCAAAGATGGGTGCCAAAACTGATTAAGTTTCATCAAACTTTGAGTGCTATACGTGACCAATCAGTCTTAATTATTCCCTAATATAATAAGGTTTCAATAAAATGATTAAAGCGGGAGGGTGGTCACCTGCGACGCGCGGAAATTGAGTCCCAAGCGACAATAACAGCACCTGCTAAAAACGCAAAGACTGTGCCATGCATTTCTTTGGGCTCTGTGCGCGCTGCGTGGAACGCCTGTCGAGCCGGTGAAAATTCGAGAAAACAACAGAAACTCAACTTTGAATTTATCCTGAACATCAGAATTCATATATGTTACACAAGGTAGGGCTAATCTTGTTACACTGTTCAGGGGAGTCTCAACAACCATCCCAAAGTACCGTTTTCTGCGAATTGTTGGCCTTTGTTTTCACCGCGATGGTTGCCAGGCGGTGAAAATGCCCGGATGTCCGCCCCGAGGATATGTGCTTAATTTAGTAGTAGTTAATTTACAACAATGTTTATTTTTGATTAGGTCGATTCAGAGTAACACAATGGCATTCTTCGACGTAATATCTATGGTCACATTGTTCTCATTAGGTGAGTTGTTCTAAAAAGTCATATAATTATTTAATTTGTTGTGTTTCACTGTCTCCATGGGAGATTGTCTCCCAGAATGCATTGCACATATGCGCACTAACATGCTCAGTAGTGTGTATTATTATGTATATAGAGCTTTTATCAGGTATAAGTGCAAAAACAATTTACAGAAATAAATGTTCATTCAAGTATCTGTGGTAAAATTTGAAGTCGGCTTTTACTTGAAAAAAAGATTATACTAATAATAATACTGTAAATGTATTAATTATTCACTGTGTTTTAATTTCGCTGATAAGTAAAATTCGCTTGATTAAATTCACGTGAGCATAAAAAACAACAACAACAGAACTCATTGTTTCTCAGCAAAATTCGTAAAGCCACGTGAAAAGACTCGGAAATCAAAATATTAAATGTCAGTGAAAATAAATGGTTTTACAGTAGCAGAGAGCAGCCTATGTATGAGTGCGTCATCTGAGCCATGACAGAATCTGCTCAGTGAGTGCATATTAAAGTACGCCCTCTTTTGCAATTCGTCCTTTATAAAGGATTCACCGGTGGGGGGGGGGGGTGGCGGCACGAGAGGGCGCCATCCGATCTGAATGGAATGTATCGATGTCAGTCGCCGTAGCCCATCGTCTAAGCAACAACGTCCCGTTTACGAAAAGATGGAATAATTTCAGTAATTTCTTGACAGAATAATCCTCAACAAAACTTAGAAACATTTCATAGACAAAATAGACAGGCTCCAAAATTATGTCTATTGCAAAACAATTCAACCGACAACCAGTTTGACGCCACAATTTCTAGCTTGAGCCCGAATTCTACGCGTGATTTTATTGCGTTCAAAACTGTTCCATTTCAGACTGCGCATGCACACAATGTGGTTTCTCGAAATGCATACATAGGCAACTTGTCACTGATAAACGTCACCGAAAACATTTTGAGCAACTTTTCAGTACTTTGCCCCTACTTTGCCGTACTTTTCAGTACTTTGCCACTAATTTGCCACTACTTTGTCGTACTTTGCCACTACTTTGCCGTACTTTGCCACTACTTTTCAGTACTTTGTTACTACTTTGCCGTACTTTGCCACTACTTTGCAGTACTTTGCCACTACTTTGCCGTACTTTGCCACTACTTGTCAGTACTTTGCCACTACTTTGCAGTACTTTGCCACTACTTTGCCGTACTTTGCCACTACCTTGCCGTACTTTGCCACTACTTTTCAGTACTTTGCCACTACTTTGCCCTACTTTGCCACTACTTTGCCATACTTTGCCTCTACTTTGCCGTACTTTTCAGTCTTTGCCACTACTTGGCAGCACTTTGCCACTACTTTGCCGTACTTTGCCGCTAGAGTGAAATATAAATGTGCTTCTGCATTCGCCATGAATTTCATAACTTGCTATGATCATGGTAAAGAGAAAACCTGTGCTTACTTTCAACAGTTAGCTGGAGTCTGATCGAAAACGTGTCTCAAAAAATACTTTTACATCATTTTCCCGATTATTTTTTCGCCTCGTAACGAATCAGTCAATTTAGAATTAACATGTATGTGCTATCGGAAAGCATTTTGGCACAATTTTACTGAAAAGACGAGTTTTTCATTGCACATGAATATTAATTTATGCAAATGAGACG